GGGGAGAGGCAAGTTGGAAATGTTTTTGCAGGAATGATCGACTGAGTTCTAGCAATATCAAAATGAGGGATCTTGTAGGTACTTTACACAATTTATCTGTAAATTGGGATGGTTGAGTCAGTAGACTAGCTGACCAAGGGTTCGATGTAATAGGCAGGACATTTAGCATATGTGCAGAGTGAAGAATATGAAATCCTGGCGTTCTAAGAAGTACAGATTATAAAATGCGAATAGTAATTTAATTAATTATTATTCCAAACATGTATTATATCTAAGCATGTTATAAAATTAATAGGTATGTTACAGAATACCAAGACTGATCAGGCAATGTGCTTTTAGCCTGCTTTCCTTATTTAAAAAAAAAAAGAGGAGGCTTATGATATAATCTTGCTGTCTGTATATCCGTCTGTATTTGCCAATGTCTTGTATTCCATTTTGTTTTTAATTTTAGGTTTATGAGATCACCTTGCTGTCTGTGTATTCCCTCTAATTTTTGTTAGGAGACTTCAGAAATCACCTTAATATCTGTGTGTCCCCAATTTTTTGGTTTCCTATGCAGTCTTTGTCGTATGAAATAAAATTATGTGAGTAGTTCTTTTCAGAAAGGATGAAGGACGCAAACAGATCCATTGCCCGAAATGTTGTTTTTTTAGAATACTGAACGATGGACAAAGTCCAAAAAAAACAGTAACCCCGAAACGAGGAATTTATTGAGCAGCTGAGCGACTACCAGACACAAAAAAGTATTTTACTCGTAGTTTGTGGATCCTGACGCTGTCAATATCCAGACTACAGAGCGTGAAATTGTAGGTTCCCTTATGGACGATGATTTCGAATAGATGAGGAATGAAGCGGCCCTGGACTAACAGAGATATTCCGGTATTTATTTCGATAACTGAGGAAATCCACGAAAGACCTCAGTCTAGACAGTAGGCATATCTGTCCAGATTCGAAAGGAGAACCTCAAGAATACAAATCTAAAATTTTACCTCTAGACCAACCTGATCTATGACTCAAGAAAAGCTCCGATTATGGAACCAGGAACAAAACAAACTCCGTGGCCTGTAGTCCGCAAACGAACTATACCGACCGTGCGACCGCAGCTTGTCGGCGAAGTTAGTGCCATCTTCTGTGGATAGAGAGCGTCACGTGGTCAGCGCAACGGATCCACACGGCTGTTAATTTCGGTTTTCTAGACCGGAGCCGCTATTTCCTTGAAATATCTCCACAATTATCCTCATGAGGCTCAGTGAACCCCGTTTCAGACCCATTACTTCTTAGAAAATTTGACAGCGCCGAGAATCGCATCCGGGACCTCTGGATCTGTAGTCAGGAATTCTGACCACCTGACCATAAAGGCGGTCCTAGGAAACAGAAAATAAATATGACAGAGTATTTTAAAAGTAATTCTATGTTAATAAAATTATGAGTCCGTTACAGGGGAAGTACCCATCTCATTCTAGTCTGTATCTTCTTAGTCTTAAGTTAACCATCCCAATCTAATGAATGGAAGCTAGTCAACGGGCAGAGGACCCAGCGAGCCACGCATTCGACACGCATCGCCAACAACTAAACAAGAGATTGAGAAGTCAGCACAGAAGCCCGTGCCGGACCGTCAGCAGTGTCAGCCCCTTTTCTTCTTACACTGGGCGGTACAGATGATGATCTTCAAGTTGTCTCGTTGATGATAGATGATGATGCCTCTCTTCACCCCCTCCTCACTTTTATCTGAATGAGTGAGGTCATAATGTGGGGGCGTAGCAATTAATGTGAGTGAATGGATAACCTTCGGGTAAAATTCATTTAGTGCCAAGACCTCATGAGGATCGAGTATAGTCCGACGCAACACAGAGTGGAACAAGCTACACATTTGGCACGGTATACATGGATGACTTCTTAAAACAGAGAAAGAATAAATCTAATTTAAGGAGCTGCAAAGAGAAATCCGAGGGCCATGGCAACACAGAATGAATCACGTCAAGTGAAACATGACATTTCTATTGTTTCCACGAACAGTTAATAAAGAAACAGCAAAAGAATGAAACACACAAAAATCGAGTTGAAACACTGTATTTATAGAAGGAAGCAATATTTTTCTCACATTCATCTGCTTTATTTGTGTACCAGATACTCAGGAAATAAAAAGTATTGTGACATGACGCCTGAAGTTCGGAATAGTGGAGCCTGAGACGTCCATGCTAAGCAACGACTCGTGTTTCTAATTCAAGCATAGCTCAAATTATGTAACATTTTCTTCAGGAAACTATCTAAAACAACCAGCAACTACGCCTTCTTTTCTAACGCATGCGTTCAATGCTATAATTAGACTGTTTCAATTTCTGACATGCAAGCTTAAGTCTGCTAATGATATCGGACCTCAAATGACGTGGCAATTTCTTTCGCACTGATAAATTGTTCTTAATATTTGTTGAGTAGCAGCTATTTGCTTTACATAATGTTGTAAAGGCCACAGATACACACAGAAATCATTACCTTCGTTGCTTTAGTTCTCTAAAATCAATTTAGTTATTTCTGATTAAAATAATACTACTTGTTGTTTTGTACGGATAAAAGACTTGATGTCTCATCAAAAGAGAAGAAACTGAGAATATGTGAGATGAGGTGACGAGCAAAATATTTTGACCGAAGAGGGAGAAATTGTGAAGGGACGATAAAGTTGTCCCTGTGCTTAACTAATTAAGCACTATGCTATGAAGGTGTATGGGGGAGTGGATGTATAGATCCACATTTTCTTGCTCTCGGCAGTAGTAGGAGGTGACTGGCAGCTTCACGCCCTTGTCGCTTTACCCCGGGGAAAGAGCCACCAGTACCCATTGGATAGGAGGCTGGGTGGACCTCAGAGCGGGTTTTGACGATGTGTAGAAGAGGAAATTCTTGCCCCTGCGGGGACTCGAACTCCGACCCCTCGATCGTCGAGACCGTAGCGAGTCGCTATACTGACTACGTCATCCCGGCTCGAAGGGACGATGGGGCGAACAATATTATGGGCAGATTCATACTGTGTTGCCTTCACCAGATATTATTATGGTGAATAAACGAAGGAAAATGAAGTGTGTGGTATATGTATCGCACATGGGGAAATGAAAAATGCTTACAAAATATTAGTCAGCCTCAAGAGAATTAACCGTCTGGGGAAAACAGGCGTAAACGGGAGGACATTCTTAAAACTGATCTTAACAGGAAGAAGTTTGGATTCAGCTGTCCTAGATTAGAGGCCATTGGAGGGCTCTTGTAATTCGGGTTACAAATCTTCGTTTCCTATGAAAGGCGGGGAATTATTTGACCAGCTCATCTACTGTCATCTTCTAAAGAAAGAATTATATGTTTCATACAGGAATGTGCTTGAAAATATGTGGGGTTTGAGGTTCTACCTTCGGTGGTTTTGAAGAGTTCTGCCTTCTGGGATGTAACGCCCTGTATTCCGTTGAAAGTCAAAAGACGTTTCGGGAAAACTTGTCGCCTATAACATCTCATTGTGAAAGCAAGCGGAAAATGAAGATCTGTTTGCCACCTGCTATCACGCTGTTATTTTTCTTGGCTTATTCTTCAATCCTGAAGATGGATGAGACATGTTCCTCTAAACATCGGTTGATTTTCAACGGACTACATGGAGTTGTATCCCAGAAGACAGAACTCTTCTGTTTGAGAATAAATAATTCTTTCACCTCTTTTGTCTCGAAAAGTCATTTTTCCATTAGGCATCACGCTCTGAGGCGTTGCTATGGTTACAGGACAGGGGAGGGTGAACCAGCTGGGCGGCGTATTCATCAACGGGCGCCCTCTGCCGAACCATATCCGCCTCAAGATCGTGGAGATGGCAGCTGCCGGGGTTCGACCCTGCATCATCTCACGACAACTGCGTGTGTCACACGGCTGTGTGTCCAAGATACTGAACCGTTATCAGGAGACTGGCAGCATCCGCCCTGGGGTTATAGGGGGTAGTAAGCCGAGAGTAGCAACCCCGGAGGTGGAGCAGCGTATCGAGGACTACAAGAAGGCCAACCCGGGCATCTTCAGCTGGGAGATCCGCGACAGACTCATCAAGGTACGAAGAGTGACGGGTAAGCCCTTCACTAAAATGAATTGGCTTTATTTGTTTCTACGCCGACATCTCCTGCTGCAAAACTCGGGGTCTCATCCTACGGCAAATATCATTAGAGCAATTGAATATAAGAGGAAATATAGATGGGACATGGACGGGCCGAGAAAAATGTGCAAAATTTTGGCAGAAGATCTTGAAGGTAATAAACTATTTCAGAGACTTAGATGGAGAAGGAGCATATTTGTGACATGATACCTGAAAGACGGATTAGTTTACCCAGAATAGACGGTCGTTGCTAGGCAACGGCTCCTTAAACACGTGTACTCGGCAACGGATACGGATGTAATAACAGGAATTCTTGGAAACTGTGTTTTCATGCAGTCTTTGACGCGGCTATAAAGCGAGGGCCATCGGGAAAATTAATGGCTAGGAGTTGTGACCATGATCTAATTGTGAGATGGTAGTCAGCCGGCAACGAAATAAACATGAGAGCAGACGAGAACCGTAACCTAGCGACGCATAGTGCAGGCCGTTACGGAATTACGAATAACTGTCAAACAGTAATAAGTATCTTGTCATGAGCCCCAGATGGGACTCGACACCAAGACTTACTGACTGACCGTCAGTCGCAATGTGACTGACTTGAGAAGTGAGTCGTAAAATGAGAACGAGAGTGGGGCGAAGGAAGAAGGGTTCGTCTGAAGACTGAATGTGGATTCTTGTAATTCATTGTGATTACTAGAGATTGAAAAAAAAAACAGGTGTCAATAAATCCAATCATCCAATCCAGAACCTGTTACTATTAGTCACCGAACTCAATATATTTCCCCGAGTTTTACACCACTGATAGTAGTAAAATGTTTAGATTAAGTTTAGCAACACATTTACATTTAACATAACACATCAGAACGGACATTGTCAACACAGACAACATGACAAACGAATCACACAGACACATATTTTTTTATTGCTAGTGGGGTGTGACTAAGTCCCTTGTACTGCGGCCACTTCTGGCCTATTGTACCAGCCCCAGATGATAGGTGAGGGTGATTGTGGAGCAGTTGGTGGAATGAAGATTGGCAGGGAAACCGAAGTACTCGGAGAAAACCTGTCCCAGCGCCACTTTGTCCACCACAAATCCCACTTGACCAGACCCGGGATCGAACCCGGGCCGCCGCGGTGGGAAGCCAGCGACTAACCGCTTGAGCCATGGCGCGGCCCAAGAGACACATAAGAAGTGAAAGATGTGAACACCCGCCAATGTCGTAGCTATAAGATAATTTGCGTAAGTAACCTGATGATGGCCACATGGGCCGAAATATGTCGCGTAGTAACGAATGTGTACAAAATTAGTACAACTGTACACAGCTATGTTGGGCGGACCGTCATATACAGTGCGTTCAGTTAAGGAGGAAACTTCGCAACACCGCTGATCCGGCCCAACATTCCTCACAGTTAGCTGCTGTAAATGCTGATAGCAGAATGAGTCATTAGCGCCGTTACAGTTAAAGTTACAGGAGCAATCTGTGAGGAACCTTGGGCCCGGTGAACGGTGTTGCGAAGTTTCCTCCTTGATTGAACACCCTGTAGTAGTAGTATTCTGAATATTTGTTAGAAAAGCATGTAAAATCATGCACAATTACTTTCTTTCATTTCCTGTTAAATATAAAATGTTTTAGTTACAATGACTTCAGAAATAACTTCATGAAATTGTGACACAAAATCTTAAAACTTCCTATATATGCATTTCATCGCAGTAGGTCTAAATACTTATACCCCCGCTCCTAAGCAGACACGTATTACGAAGTTCCTGAACATGGAAACATTTCATCTTACCTTTTGATCTTGATCGCAGCGGCCCTGTTTCACACCCGAAGGCGCAGTTCCTTGTTCTCAGAGCAGGACAGCTCCAAGTAGGTTACTGCGGCACAAGACACTGTACCCATAAGAAAGCGGACATTAACTAAAGGAAAGATAGTTTATGTTGCTCGTCCAACATATTGATTAACCAAGCAGGCAACCAAATTATTCCATGCAGAAAAATCCTGCCTAAGATGCTAATAGTTGCTCAGCTAGCCACTAAATTCCCACCATTTTATACAACACGAAAGTTCATTACCATATCCATAACAGCCCGAAAGATAAATCCAGCTCACATCCTCTAATGCCACTGCTTTAAGATCCATTCTAATATTATTTTCCCGTCTGGGCCTAGTTATTTCAAGTGGTCTCTTTCCTTCAGACTTCCATACCAGAATTTTAAATGACACTGCGTGCTGCACGCTTCGCCAATTTCATCTTCTTGACCTGATTATTCTAATAATATCTCACGAGCAGAACAAATTAGCCGATCACAGTGGCCGCGCGGCCTGCTCCAACACTGGGATCGTGGGTTCGAATCCCACTTCAAGCATGGATGTCTGTGTGGGTTTATTCTGTGTTTGTGTTGTTCTGTGTATTGGACTCCACCCCGCACTAAGCGAAACGCTGGTTGGATATGTAGCATGGGGGGATTTGAGATAAACGAACAAGAATTTTGTTACAGGACCTCAAAGTGAAGAGATCGCAGCTAGTTCTCTAAAGTGACTTATCTTCCCTTAGGTTTTTGGAGCGAACTCTTGTACAGTCCCCATAAAATTAGTCTATATAGGGCAGTATTTGACGTAATGCTTGTCTGTTTGCGGATAGTTCGTTCCCATGGAAATCAAAAGCAAAAACTAATCTCAGATATTTACGACAGAACCAACAGGCGACAAAATAGACGGCAATGTTTCAGTCGCTATTAAATTTCCTGCCGTTCGCTAAAACTGTATATCTTGGCTATCGCAAAACTGTCTTTCCTGAAAATTTCCAAGTTCATGATGTACATATTCAGTGAAATCGTGATTTAAACGTGCATTTCAAAGATCATAATGTGAAAGAGTGAATCAATGGAAGGGTTATCTGTGAAAACCACAGATAGGAACGGGAAGTGTCAAAAATTGTCCTGTTGAACTTTAAACAGGCAATTCGCCCGGTGTCACTATCACACCTATTCAATTCAAACAGACTTGGAATAAGAATGCGGGTAGAAAACTGACGTAGAGCATGCCAATTTAACAAGACACAGACTTTACTGTCACATGCTTGCCCACGAAGGAAACGGCTGAGCTTCAGCAGGTAGCGCAGCCTCCTAGGCGAGACTTGTGCCCATTCTCCTCTCACACGTATTGTATGATAACCGGTAAAATATCACCATATTCTCAACACTTTAACCTCCATTATCGTTTTAGCTATGATCACTCCTCCATTAATTGTGCCTGTTCTGGAGTTATTTTAGTTTTCTAAACTCCCATAGACCTTCAAGGGAAGACACAACTTGAGCAACCTAGCCTCAAATTCCGAAATAATTATCAGAATTAATTTAAAAGAGAAACAGGCACGTAGGGTGTAAGCGGAGTTAAACTACATGAGATCTGAGGTTCTAACATTGACACAAAATAAAAAGGTAAAGCTATCCCCGTAACAGGCCGTGGAGGCCCAAAGAATTGTGGGACATCGAGGTTCTCATATTTTCTAGACAATCGGCTCACAGATGTCGGTGAGGCTGTCAGCTTCACGTACCGGCCGCTTCCGACATTTGTTAATATGAAAATTCTACCGTAAAAATGTAGGCAGAATGTGCCTCTGAAACGTCGGCAACGTCGTTAGGAACCACGCGTTATAACAACTCAAGAATAAATTAATAATAGTATGAAAATTTTTGCCTTCCAGGATTTGATGGCGTGTAGTCCGGGTACCAGCATTTAATGGAACCTGCTGTTTCCGTCTTCAGGGTAGAAGCTAGAGGAAGTAGGTTCCTCCGAAACGTTCGTAGTTATCCACGAGATTACACAGAGTCACATATCAGAAAAACATCATGCAACACATTTTGATACTCCGCTGCAGAAGACGGAGAGAGTGTAATGAAACTCCTTAATGATGATAATAATAATAACAACAGGGTTAACATTTTACTGGTGTGCTCATAAATAATAGCGTCCAGGGTTATAGATTTGGTGGGGAGATGCCTCGCGCGTGATGTACAAATTACGTCATTTAACCACCACTACCCCCGTGCCATCCCGGTATATCACCCTTGTCTATTTCTTAATGTATCGGATGCTGGAAGGCAATTGGAGCCGTGACTTGAAACGCCTCCCCTGTGGTTCCTCTATGATAGCCCATTACACTCCTCAGCTATGCGTGGAGTAGCCTATCAGGGGTGCACAAACTCCAGTTTCATACTTATTTATATTGTGACGTGTAAATCCATTATTTGGCAAATCCCACAACACACACACGACGAACAATACTGGAACAGTGTTTTCTCCGTGTCCGTGAAGCTTACACATGCTGGATGACATCATACAACAATACTGGAGTAGTGTTCTCTTTGTGTCCGCGCAGCATTCGCATGAGTGGTGACGGCACACAACGTGACGTGTTTTCTGCGACGCATGTCCGAGCCGCGTCTATATAAGGATGCCAGTTTGAAGCGATAGAGCGGAAAGAGAATGGGAGTTCAGTTCAGTCGCCGGTAGGACACAGCCACGGGACGTTCATAGTTGAAGGAGAATTAGAAGTCGGCCTGTACAGACATAACGGGCGAATTGAAGACTTTATGTATACTGTAGTTCAGTCATATTAGAAGCGTGTGATTTAGTGAGACTTTTATATTTCCTGCGTTGTAGATCTGTTTCAAGGAAACGGATAGTGAAGACCAGTAGAAATAGACTTAGATTAGCGTGGAGCGTGAAAATCAGTGACAGTGTTATAATTACTTCTACTTCCGTCCTGTAAGTAGTCAATAAATCCAATTACCAATCAAAACTCCGTCTGTAGTCACTAATACAAGTGAAAATATTTATTTAGAGGCTTTGTTTTTAGATTTGGACTGTAGGTTGCGTTTGGGAGGTACGGCAGAAATTAGCGGGGCAGTGGTTACAGTGTGGAGGACGCACTATTAGTGAAAACTTATAAAT